AGGTATAGGGATGGTGGGCACACAGCTAAGGGCAGAACTGAGCTTCAAAGGCAGCGCTCTGCAGGGCCAGTTCTTAGAGAGCCACAGTACTATTTGTAAGGCTGGAAACACACTCATTCAAGGTATCCTCCTCTTTATACTCCTTGACTCAAAATAGGGTAACAAACAGGAATCAGCTGACAACTCTAGCCCCAGGAGTTTGCAAATGTAACGGCTCTACTGGCATTTCCTCATTTCCCAGCTTAAGTTCAGTGGAAAACAGGAATTCATTTCGAACAGACAACTGGTGTTAACCACACACAGCCTCCAGGGCAGAAGGGACCCTCCAGGGGAAGAGACAGAGGAGAGTTCCGACACTCTGCCCCCAGCCTGAACAATGGACACTGATCTGTCAAAACAAAGAACAGTAAGGGACACATTTATCCTGCACTGGGGCTATTTTATGACTTTTACGACTATTCCTCCCTTGGCTGGTTTCCTATTCAATGTAACAAAGAACAAGATTAAACACACACACACACACACACACACACACACACACACACATTACACAAATCTGTCTGTATCATCTTTTGGTAGAAGCTTAACAGAAAGCAGTCAATTATCTAGAGCTGACCACAAGCCCGGGGAACACTCTGCAGGCAGAAAATTACAACAGCAGAGCTGTCCGTTTCTGTTCTGTGGAACGAATTTTCGAGACTGACTGTTCATCAATGACACAACTGCAAAGTTTAATGCTAATAGTCCAGTAAAACGTTGCCATCTCTGGGTTCTGAGGACCCCTAAGCTTATCACACTGATTTTACAGTGTTAACTGCACCTCGGTTCTCCCCCTGGCCTTGGATATTCTGTCGTTGAGCAGCACCCCAGACAGTTCAGCTGGGAAACAGCTGCTAGAAAGGGCTACCTGGAAGGTCTGGAGTTTAAAGTACAAGGATAAAAAACAAGTCCGGAAAATCCAGCCACAGGCTAACGCTCGCAGCTCTTATTTAAGCGCTCTGTGGGCGGCACCCTTTCCGGCTCAGCTCGCAGGCCAGGCGGGCGGAGGGTAAAGCTGCCATTTACCTTCCATGGGGTCAGGCGAGACGACTTTCCTCCCCTTAGGAACAGTTTGCGCCCCGCCCATGTACAGGGTCCTCCTGTCCTTGGTCAGCCCTGAGCCCGTGGAGCCATCGTGGTCGGGCTCCAGTGATTCGACGACAGGTAACGCGCAGTGGGCTCCCTTCCCACCTCCGCGCGGGCTCACGCTTGCACTCAGGCACCACAAAAAGAATCTAAAAGGACACAAATACACAGACCTGACCCTCACCACAAGTCACTCAAGCACGGGCGCTGAGGACACAACAATTTTATACAGAGACTTCTAAATCTTTCTTTTTGGAGACAGGGTCTCACTATGTAGTCAGGCTGGCCTCAAGCCCACTATGTATCCCAGGCTGCCCTCGAACTCTGCGATCCTCCTGCCTCAGCCTCCTGAGCGCGCTGGGGGATGGGGGAAGGTGCTCCCGGCTAGGATTTAGTTCTTAACTTCTTGGAAATTGCACGGGCTTTGCAAAAGCTACCTGCATTTTAATACAATAGTTCGCAGTTTCGAAGGAGGTCCGCACACAGGCTCTGCACCTTCGGTTTGGGGTGGCGGCGAGGAAAGCAGGTGCTGCACGCCCTGTCACTCCAGACACTCCCGGCTCGGCACTAACGGTCTCACCAAGCCCCACCCGAAGTCGGCCGTTACGCCACACTCCAGAGAGTCCCCGACGATGCCCTTTCGGCTTGCTAAGGGGTCCCGCGGTGCGCGCGGGGAAGGGACGCGGGGATGCCAGGACCGTGGATCCCGTGCGCTCCAGACGACGAGCGCCGGACACTTCGTGGACCCAAGCGCAGCTCCGGCAAAGAAAGCGGAGCCGGCCCAGTAGCCGGGGTCCCGCGGGTGTCGCCCCCAGCGGCGGAAAGCCCGACTCCTACGGAGCTCCGCATCCGGGCGTGGGCAGAGGCGGCTGCGCGGGCCGCGTTCCTGAAGTCCTGGGTGAGCTCGGGGCTGGGGTCGCGCAGGGCCCGCGCCGCTCCTTGCACGCGCGCCGCTCCTTGCACACGCGCGCACACCCCCGCACGCCCGCACTCACACGTGGC